CTTGGCTTCCTGGTTTTCTTTTGGCTTCTCTGGCCACTGACCTGCCTTTCTTCTACTAATTCCTGCTATCCCCTTGGACCTCTAAATGGTAGAGTTGCTGAGAGCTCATTCATTGCCTCCTCACTTTGTCCCAGCGTGATCTAACGCACACTGATGACTCCCCAGATTTATAGCTCTGCCCTAGATCTCTTTTCTGACTCAAATCTCTCTCTCTCTCTTTCAATCTATCTTTTGATCTATCTCTTGATCTATCAATCCATATTTCCAACTAGATGTCACAAGATGTCACATAACACGTCTAGAATTGTATTCTCGATGTCTTCGCCATATCCTCCCCCAACCTGCCCCTCCCCTAAATTTACCCAACTCAGAAAATAGCATCCCACCACCACCTGGTTGCTCAAATCAGAATTTGGCTGTCAAACTTGAAACCTCCTTCTTTCTCCTCTTTCAATCCATCATCGTATTTTGACCTCCTAAATATTTCTTGCAGCCAACGGCTACTCTTTGTCTTCGCTGCTGCAACCTTGGTCACTGTTACTATCTTCCTTACCTGGAGGATGGTGATGATATCCTAACTAGCCTTCCCACACTCATCTGTTCTTCCACTTCAATCCATGTAGTGAGTGATCATTTAAAAAATACTGATTGGCCTGCACAGTGGCTCATACCTGTAATCCGAGAACTTTGGGAGGCCGGGGCAGGAGAATGGCTTGAGGCCAGGAGTTTGAGACCAGACTGGACAACATAGCAAGACCCCATCTCTACAAAAAATAAAATACTTATTGCCTCATGCCTTCTCTCTGCTTAAAACATAGCAGTGGCTCCTGCTTCCCTCTTCATCTTCAGCCTGGACCTTTCTCCCCTTCTCCAAGTACACTCCAGGTCCAGTGGCTGCCTTCCTCCTAGGGGTGGAGATTTCCCTGCCCCACGTCCTTCACGCATTTTGTTCTCTCTGCCTGGAATTCTTTCCCCTCCGCAACCCTTTTCTTCCCCACTTCTCCCAACGTCTGCTAATTCTTCAGCCTGGTTTTAAGTGTCAGATCCTACGAAATCTAATTTAGGACCCCCTTGACAATCTCTCGCGTAGCATCCTATTTTTTTCTTTCAAAACACTAATTCCAATTTCTAATTATAAATGCATTTGTGTGACTATTTCTGCCTTCCCAACATAGCTATTTTGTTCGCTACACTATTGCCCAGCAACGAGAACCGTTCCTAGCACGTAGGAGGCAGTCATTATTTGTTGAAGGGCAAGGGAGCTATGTCAGCTGAGAGGATTTTTGTCAGATAATCTAAATTTCTTTTTCCTTTGGACTCTGTTCCAGCCAAAGTACTCGTTTGATTATGACTTATCTTCCCACGTAGCTTGACAGGTGGGACAGAACACACTGATTGTGAGGATTTATGTAGGTCAGAGGTGTTTCTTAATTTAAAAATTGATGTTTGAGTGATAACTGGGGCTCACGTGGATTTTAATTCACGTGCGTCTGTCCCTGACGTCCTGAGAACGGTGAGCTGTGGGCTCTCAGACTTGAGGTCCGGTCCTGGGCCACATTAATCCACCAGTAAATATCACCCGTGAGGCCTCGTTGGACATGACCTTGCAGACCTTTCCCCTCAGCGGCCTTGGCATCGTTACCAATGCAAGCTTATCTTTCTTTTTGGAATGTCTGTGTGAGTAACTTAGGAAGTCTTGCCAAATTTTTGCCAGTTACGAAAGATTAAAGTTACCAAATTTAGTTGTTATCATCTGTGTGTGCCACTGAGGAGATTAAGCAGACGAGGCTAATCTCAGGTCCTTTCTTGCAGTCAGACTTTATGGGCTTGGGAAATTCTATTGCCAGTATGTTGACGGGCCTGGCACCAACTGGACAGACGGACTACAGAATGGAAAGATGGTTCTTAATAATAAACCTTAGCAGTAAGTTCATCGTTTTCTCCGTGCCAGGGACTGAGCTGTCATGCACATACAGTCTCATTCATGCTCATCATGACTCTACAAAGCATGGTCATGGAGATCAACCCCATCTTACAGAATGGGAAAACATAGATTAGAAAGGTTTTGGGGCATTGTTAGTGAAGTGGCTGAGCTGGGATGTGAGCCTGAGTCTGCCTGACCATCTGCTACCTGAGCACGTGAGCACCACATGAAATCGCATCCTTCTGACTTGATCATGTGTCAAGTATTGGGGTGGCATCAACTGGTTTGTTTAGGAGCCGAATTCCCCGTCCTCCCAGTCTGATTGGTAATAACGCCAATGCGTCATTGGGTAACGTTCATTGCTTTGTTCAGTAAGGATTTTTTGAGAACCTTCTACATACCAACTATTATGTAGACTCTAAGGAATGCAAATGAGAAGACACACAGTCTGTTCTCCCCAAAAGCTTACAGTTTCATGGAAAACAGGCAAATACCAGACACACACAATACAACATGACCAGTGCTATAACAGAGGCCAGAGTCCGAGGAATCAAGGAGGGGTATCATAGAAATGGGATGTGAGCTGACTCTTGAAGACCAGGGATTTGCCAGGCAGATGTGCAGGATAAGAAAAAGAAAAAGGTATTCTCTTGTGGTTTTCATGGTCCTGGGAACCACGTGTGTAGAACTGGGAGGCCTCCCGTGCTCAGTGCTACGGGAATGCTGGCTCCAGTGGGTAGGAAGGGGGAGCATTTCGAGAAATCGAGCTGAAGAGATCACAGCGAGGTGCCAGACCACGTCACGTCTTTATTCTACTCAGGGCTGCTTTGAACAGGAACAGAAACCGAGTCAAACTAGCTGCAGTAATGAAGTTTGATCTTTCAGGTTAAGGTGTCTACCGGCAAGTGACTACAGTCTCTGTGTCTCTTAATTCTTGCTCTCAAGAGAGAGAATGTGATCAGTCATTGGCCAGCAGCCCGAGCCAGGTGTCTGTCGCTCCTCTGATAGGGCGACGCAGGCACGTTGTCGGCGGGGTGGGGAGGAGGTTGCGCTGCGGGGTTCCGAGGCTGGGATCCCATGGTACGGTTGGCCCTGGTAGGAACAATGAGTGGGAAGCTTTCCCCAGGAAAGTGTGAGAAAGAGAGGTAATAAAGCCCATGCAGCACAACACTGTGGGCCATGGAGAAAAGACTGGACTCTTTAACAGACATATACAGAAAGCAAAAGAAGAACTATCCATTAAACCCACAAAGTTATCACTGTAACATTTAAGGCAACTCCCACCCATGACTCCAAAGCATAACATTTATAAGGCTGGAGTAATTCGAATATGTTTGCATTGCTTCTGATTTTGAATTATTTTAAAATGAGCATGTATAGCAATCATCTCACAAATAAAATACCGAACATCGTATCCTTAACTGTGGCAGAGAAAGGCTGGTTGTACCAGGCGAGCCACTAGACAGAGACTGGGTCCCTGAATGACTGCATGGAACAGAGTATACCCCCACCCTCGTTCACATCAGACGGGGATGTAAATGAGAAATTTATCTTTATTTTATCAGGCAACTCGAATTTGGAGTTAGTTGGTTAAAGCAACTGAAGTTGCTTACTTAGAGAATGCAAGCAGGAACCATATGCACGATTTCTTGCATGGCACCCCCAACTCTGGGTAGGGTGGAACCTACCCATTCCCTAAGTCTAGGTCCC